GAGATAGATTCTTCCTAATACTGCGCCACCTTCATTTCAACAACAACAATGAAGGGAATGACAAGTTGTTCAAAATTCGTCCAGTGATAGACTATCTGAACAACCGAATGTCCGAAACATATTATCCTAGTAAGGAATTGAGCTTGGATGAATCGGTGATTCTCTGGCATGGCCGTCTACAATTCAGGCAATATATAAAAAATAAACGCCACAAGTACGGCATCAAGATTTACACTCTTTGTGAGCCAAATGGCCTGGTCTTGAACACTATCGTGTATACAGGTAAAAGTGATGAACTTGGTGGCAAGGGACATACTACCAAAATTGTAAAAGCCCTCATGGCAGGTAGAGAGAACCACGGACATTCATTGTTCATGGATAATTTTTATAACTCCCATGACCTGTCCAAAGAACTGCTCGAACTTTGGAATCAATCTCCACAACACAACAGTATTCAAATGTCCTGCCTAATCTCAACCCCAGAGCTGCTCGCGCATGCGCAGGGTGCAGGCGAGTAAAGCGAGTGAAGGAACTCGTCGTTGTGTGTCTGCTGTCTCGAAGGAAGGATGCAGGAATAAATTGCTTGGGAAATGGGGGGACGCCCCCTTGAGGTATTGTGTAGTAGTAATAGTAGTATTAATTAATATGTAACTTCATCTCAGGTAATCAAATTCACTATGTCATTTATTTCGTCATTTATTATTGATTATTTATTCAAATGTTAGTTCACGTTGTGTCCAATTGACTTATATACTAAATATTCCATATGTTGAACAATCAAGATATTTCTGAGTTATAAATGCATTAACTGATCTAACAATCATCAAAGCTGGCTCTTGGGGCCTGTGAATTGCAGTAAATTGTCTCCTCTGTGTTAAATAATGTGTTCAGTTAACGTTTCCAACAAGAACGATTTGGTCAGGAACTTGAATCGCATGACCAGATCACCAAAGTGACATCAAAGTATGCCACAAGTGGTAGCAGAGCCAAAGCGTTCGATCCAGTTTTATAGACAAACCGCAATTTTAGCAGATCCGAAGTCAAAAGTGCAAAAATGTTTTAAATTAAATTTGCCTTCACGTGTTGTGCGATCTGGCGTCGGTATGTTGGCGTGATTCTACAGGAACGATGAGTCATGATCCAGCCGGTCAAGGTTAAGCAATACGTGAGGTAGTTTCCATTGCAGTTCAAACATTTCCAGGAATATTTCACTCTGATATGAATTGTTTAATAGTTATTTAGGCCCAGTGATTTCAAATTTTTCCTTGTAGCTACTGATTTGTAAGCTGTAATATTACATAGTAGATTTTTTAGATTTTGTAGTTTATCAATTTGTGTATTCAGGTAAAAAAATAGAAATAAGTATTAATAGATCAGTGTAGGACAGAAAATGAATAGTACTTGATTGCTAGCAATAAATATTTGTTTGTAGTGAGATCTCAGGGAGTTGTAAGATGCCACAGAGTTCAGTATGCCACAGAACAGGGGGTACCCACACAACAGGAACCCTATTGGCCAACAGGCAACACAACCCAAAGGATGTTGTAAATTCCAAACTGGAAAAAGGGGAAACGACTTGCCTGTTCTCTGAAAAACATGTTATGGTAGAGAGATGGCGTGATAAAAGAGCCGTTCTCTACCTCTCTACTGAATTTGACAACACAATGACCCAAGCAAAAAATCGGAGAGGTAAAATGTCTATGAAGCCACTTCCAATAGTAAGATACAATGCGTATATATCTGGAATCGATCGTAAGGATCAGATGATGGCATACTACCCAGCAGAGCGGAAATCCATTCGCTGGTACAAGAAGCTGTTCATTCACTATTTTGTAATGATGATGTTGAATTCGTTCTCTTTGTTCAACAAGTACACGACCTCAGGAAAACTGGCACTATATGACTTCAGGCTTCAAATCATAAGACGCCTTCTTTCAGAAAAACAATTAGTAAGAAGGGAAATCACGCCCAGAAACACGGAATATCTTCCAACCAAATGCTTAGTCTGCGAAAATGGTGGAGTAATGAGGAAAAAGTCCAGAGTTTGCAAAACGGAACAAAACAAAAGGAAAGACACTATCTTAATCTACCACTGCATCGCCTGTCCTGGAAATCTCGGGTTATGCTTGGAGCCATGTTTCAAGAAATATCACCAGTAAGAAGAAATATCACAAGGATCTTCATGTGGGATCAAACGTGCTTTATTATGAATGTTCAAAATAATGTCGCCTCTAAATGCAGCCTCCACAAATGTTAACTTGTATGATTATTTTTAAGTATTATTCAGTCTTAATATTTTCACTTCATGTTTTGTAACCAATTTCTCATTTCAAAATATTAAAAATAAAAAATGTAAACTACTAAACTAAAAAATGTAAAAAAATATATTTATTCAAAGGAAAAAAAACTTGTTTTCTCTTTGTAGCAACCGATTCATACAAGGACGTCTATAGGCGCCCGCAGCATCTAACACCAAAACTCTCAAAATTTCTTGCTGGGGGCTGTGGACGCACATAGGCGTCCATATATAATTTTTATATATATTGGCTATATTTTACATAGAGTAAAAGCTTTGGCATGAATAAACTTATTTTAAATGTCTTTGAAAAAAATAATGAAGCAGCCACTGGGTAATGTATCGGCGAATGTATTTGCAACCAAAAGGTGAGTGAGCGTAACGAACGAGCTAACCTGAAGGCTAGTGAGCGCAGCGAACAACCTCCAACGTAAAGGTGAGTAAGCGTAGCAAACAAACTTCAACCAGGACGTGATTGAGCCATGCGATTTTGGGCTCATCTTAAAAATGAACGAGCATTGACATAAAACCACATTAGGACAGGATGATGTCTGTCGGGCCTGCTACTGAAATTATAAATTTCATAAAAAATAAGAATTTTTTTTTAAGTAAACTTTATTTACAAATCCCAAGATCAATCCAGACACCAAATGACAATATCCATATATAAATCCCAAAGTACCCATGAACTTTTGAGAAAAGTAAAAGTCACACCCAATAGGCCTGCAGCGGCCGTACGAGTAACGCTCGTAAGTCGGCGCCAATGGGTCAACATTATCTATTTTCCTAATTCAATAAGCTGTAACAGCCCTTGCTTATCCGAACTACTTCACCGATTTTTAGCTTAAAATTATTTTTTCTTCATAATATTTGGTATGTACGTGTTCAGGAAAGTGTGTTCTACAAAACTAAATAATAAAAAATGTTTAAACAAATTTAATATTTGACGGCGTACCCTCTGCGTCTTGATTAGTAGTAGGACCCTGGACATGCTAAATTAGGCTGCAATAGTTTATAAAAGTAGCTGAAAATTTTAAAAATATTTTTTTCTTCCTTAATTTTTATTATCTATGTGTTCAGAAAAGTCTGTTCTACAAAACTAAATAATAAAAAAAAAATTTTTAAATTTTATATTTGGGTACTGTGTTACCTTAATTAAAAAGGACCATAACATACTTTTAATCAACATCGTTTAGTCAGTTTTTGTAAAAATCCGTTTTTCCGTTATTTTATGGGAAAATCGCCATCAAAAATCCAAATTTCTCAAAAAAAAGAAAAATGAAAAAAACTTCTAGAAATACCATACAAAACTATGGGCATCCACCAAATTTCATCAAAACCTTTTTGGGGTTCAGGTGGACCCAAAACGAATATTTCCACCCAAAACTCAAACTCCAAAATTAGACAAAAACAATACTTTCACATACAGGGTTAGTAAAAAGTCTGGAGACCCCCTGTTCATTTTTTAACGGCCCATACTAGACAAATTAAACTCTGCACACCTTTATGGAATGTTATGAAGTACTTTTTGGGCATAACCGCCACTTGGTGTACATCCCCGAAATGGGGGATTATGGGGGAAACTCAAAATTTTCAAATCGTAAGTCCCATCGAGTGACCCCCTCATTTTAAAAGTCGTGATAAAATAAAACTAAAATCGCAAACTATAGGTCTCTATCTCATTCCAGTAAAAAATGGCAGCCAATTGAAATTCTCTGAAGTTAAATTTAACTTACAGCTTTCAAAGTCTGGAGACCACCCGCAAATTTTGTAATGGCTTACACTAGGAAAACTAAACTCTACACACCTTTATGGCATGTTATGAAGTACTTTTTGAGCCTAATTACTACTTGGCTCTCAAACCCAAAATGGGGGATTTTGGGGGAAACTCAAAAATTTTAAAAGTTAAGCCCCATTGAGTGACCCCTCATTTTGAAGGTCGTGATAAAAGAAAACTAACAGCACAAACTAGAGGTCTCTATATTAACATAGCAAAATATGGCAGCCAATTGAATATCAAATTGCAAGTTAATTCTGATTTCTAAGGATTTAAATCAGCTGCCTTTTTTACTGGATTGAGAAAGAGACCTCTAGTTTGTGTTGTTAGTTTTCCTTTATCACGACCTTCAAAATGAGGGGTCAGTCAATGGGGATTAACAAGTACAAAGTACTTCATAACATGCCATAAAGTTGTGTAGAGTTTATTTGTCCTAGTGTGAGCCGTTACAAAATTTACAGGGGGTCTCCAGACTTGGAAAGCTGTAACTTAAATTTAACTTCTGAGAATTTCAATTGGCTGCCATTTTTTACTGGATTGAGATAGAGACCTCTAGTTTGCGTTGCTGGTTTTCTTTTACCAGGACCTTCGAAATGGTAAAATGGGTCGATGGGTCTTACCTTTTGAAATTTATGAGTTTCCCCTAAAATCCCCCATTTCGGGGATGAACACCAAGTGGCGGTTATGCACAAAAAGTACTTCATAACATGCCATAAAGACGTGCTAAGTTTAGTTTTTCTGGTATGGGCCGTTAAAAAATTAACAGGTGGTCTCCAGACTTTTTACTAACCCTGTATAGGCTACTATGTATAAGGGGAGAAAGTAAAATGTTATGGAATCGGGTTTAAAATAAGTTTTTAGAGAGTTTATATAATTTCATTCATAATTCTTGTCCAATCCTGCTTTAAAAATAAATTTCTCTTTCAGATTACCTTGTTAAAAATGGTAAAATACCTGAAAATGAAGCATGTCGTGTCTTTCATCAAATAGTGTCTGCTGTAAGTTACTGTCATAGTCAACATATTGTACATCGAGATCTTAAGGCTGAAAATCTTCTGTTAGATGAAAATATGAATATTAAACTGGCAGGTAATTATTTATTTTATAACTTTTATAACTATAAACTCGTATTGTATTTAAACACAAGTCTGTCTGCTTATAAAAGTGAGAAGTGTGTTGTATTTGTTATGTGTTACTTACATCTTTTATACTGCTTGCTCAATATCTTTCTCCTTATTTGTGTTTCACCAAATCGTGTTTATGAGTTAATGTTATTCAAAACTAACCCCAGAATTTACTCTGTCTTATCTCACCTGACAAAACTCCAGATCACAAAATCTTGGAATGTTAAGTACATGTAAAACTAGCAGAGAACCCGTCCTTCGTACGGGGTGTGCATATAAGTATAAAATGCTTATTGCAGTTATGATCAAGCTTTAGTTTTCAATGGGGAGGACACAGTTTGATAAAATTTGCTTCTTTAAATTCACAGTACCCTATAGTATTACACATCTACCATAGTCATAAATGTTCTACCACTTCACCGTAAACAATCCTACTTTGACAGTTATCATCGCGTATCACAGTTTTTTATTGCTGCTTAGTTCAAATTAGCTGTTTTCATAAATGCAAAAAAATATTGTGTTGTGCTGCACCCTGTTGGTAAATTTTATAACTTTTTAATGCTTTTACATATCATAGAACCAACTTTTTTATTTGAAACAGCTGACTAAAGTCTTTAATTCCCTTTTAATATAATTACTCATAAGGTTAACATGGGGAACTACAGAGCCACTGGGGCGGTGCCCGAAAGGATTTTTGAGATAAGAATATGCCTATATGTTAATCGGGAATGTGAGCTATCATCATACCAAATTTCAGCCCAATCCGTCCAGTAGTTAATGCGTGATTGAACTTCAAACAAACAAACAAACAAATAAACACACAAACTTTCACATCTATATACTATTATAAAAAAGAGGTGGTTGCTGTATGTATGGGAAAAGTAAACGCGAAAAATACTGGTCGGATCGGGCTGAAATTCGGCATGATGATAGCTCACATTCCCGATTAACATATAGGCATATTTTTATCCCAAAAATCCTTTCGGGCTCCGCCCCAGTGGCTCTGGAGTTTCCCATGTTAACCTTATGAGAAATGAAATTATTGAATCTTAACAGCTGTTTCAATTAAACAAGTTGGTTCTGTTCTGTGATGTTCAATAGCATTAAAGTTACAAGGATTACCAACAGGGTGCAGCACTAGCACTATTATTTCTTTTACATTTATGACAACAGCTAATTTGCAACCAAAAGGTGAGTGAGCGTAGCGAACGAACTTCAACCTGGAGGCGAGTGAGCGTAGCGAACGAGCTAACCTGAAGGCAAGTGAGTGTAGCGAACGAGCTAACCTGAAGGAAAGTGAGCGCAGCGAACGAGTTCCAACCTAAAGGTGAGTGAGCGTAGCGAACGAACTTCAACCAGGACGTGATTGAGCCATGCAAACGAGATCATCTTGAAAATTAAGAAGTTAAACGGGGCAAAGCTTGAGTATAATTGCAATAAGAATTTTATACTTATATTCCAACCCCGTACGAAGGACGGGTACTCTGCTAGTTTATAATATTAGTAAGATGTATTTTTAGTTTGTTATTTACATAAAAGAAACAAGACTTTGAGAGTAAGGCACAAGAAACTTTCTAGATATTCTTTTTTTTAATATGTACACATCTATTTTTCATACCAAATGAGAGAAACAATCTAAATTTGTGGATTTTCTGAAGATTTTTACAATATTGGGGTTATGTTGTCTTTATTTATCAATAGGACTTATCAATATGACACAAGGGTTGCACTTGAAAAGATTTGTCAAAGTCAAGATTTGTTAAACTTACATTTATCATTGGTGGAGCTTAAGAGCCTAAATGATCATTGTGTTGTTTTAAATTTGTAAGTTTTTTTTCCAAACAATAATTCTTTCTCACTATCTAACCTATTTTTAGTGAATTTCCCATATAGGGAAATTAAGCTATTACCGTAGGTCTCATGGTTGGTAAGACCTGGACCTTGGACCGATTTAATTTTTGTTTATTTAATTAATGCCGAAACTCAAGTTACAACAGTTTGAGCTGTAGACGAAGGTAAATACCTATTTTTAATTAATTTTTGTTTTGATGTCCCCAGAGGCCAAAACACCATCCGTTTAAATTCATGTAATATTTGTGTCCGTTAGCACTACAACTCGAGCAAAAATCATCCAATTTTGATGAAGTTCGGGACAAACTTGTAAACCTACGTCTCAAAACATACAATTTCTCTCTTAACCATTTTAGAGATTAAAGTGTTATTATATTGAAGGGTTTTTGTACAATTATTGGTTACGGAGAAAAAAAAAAATTTAATTTAAAATTCCCATGTTATTTTTTATGGAGAAGTGAACTAGAGAAGTAGTTGACTTGTTTATAGATATGTTTTGATCTATCTTAGTAAATTAATTCATTTGATATTATGCTAATTATATTTTATTTAACAAACACACTTTTTTGCCCTCCTTGCAGCAGCAAACCTAGGTACTTGTTAAACCTAATGTAGTTTAAATAGATTTAAATGTAAGTCCAATCAGGCTAATGGATATTCGCTTAGTCTGCAGGTTTGCTGCGGTGGGGGTCTCCGCGACTTTGGTAATTGTCTCTTGCAATGGCGGCAACACCTGTGAGTGTAACTTGCAGTCTCTGCGACTTCAGTAATCGTCTCCCGCGACCATGACAATACCCATCATAAGCGTAACTTGCCATCCCCACTACTTCGGTAATCATCTCTCGTAACGGCGGCAACACCCGTAAGTGTTTCTTCCAGTCTTTGCGACTTCGGAAATCGTCTCCGTCGACCGTGACAACAGCCGTGAGCGTTACTTAACAGTCTTCAGGACTTCGGTAATCACAATGAATACAGAACTTTATAAGAAGCAAAACCACAATATTAAACGACGCTACGAAGATTCCCGCCAGCGGTAGTCCACGTAGATTTATGTAGGAAGCGCCAGCCAAGTCTTTGTGAACTACCGCTAGCGACAATCTTCATAGCGCCGCCTCTTTTAAAAGGCGGTTTCGCTTCTTCTGTATTCATTGGTAATCTTCTCTCGCAGCAGCGGCAACACCCGTGAGCCTAATTAGCAGTCTCCAGGACTCCGGTAATCGTCTCCCACGACCTAGACAACACCCATTATCGGTGCCAACATCTGTGATCGGACTTTCGGTTTAGTACCATATACCAATCGCTATCGGCGTTATCACCCCAGACAGGAAACAAGTAAACAGTCGGATATTCTGAGGAGTCGGTTATTCCAAGTTCGGATATGAGGGGTTTTACTGTATTGATGATTAAAGAAATGAGGATAGTTGACATTTAATTTAGTTCTGGCTTAAGAGTCCTTGGAGGCTAGCGGCCATCTTGAATGATTTCAAACTGCTGCTAAAGAGTTAATTATCATACAAAAATAGTTTTTCAAACACCAAAGTGATTATAATCAAAATATCTAGTATACTGTCAGATTAGAATTGTTGTTTGTTGTTTTGAATATATTTCAAAGGGAGTCCAAGGAAGCCAACGGCCATCTTGGATTTGCCCTCCATAAGAGCAATGTTAATCTTGTTATTTTCAAACCGCCGCTAAAGAGTTATTTACCACCTCAAAATAGTTTTTCAAATACCAAAGTGATTTAACTTAATTTAAATATCTAGTAAACTGTGGGATTAGAAATTTGCTTTGAAGTTTTTTAATTGTTTTATGAGTTAGAACGTCTAGGCTCCAAGGACTCTTAAACTATCAAACGAATTTATTATGTTCTCTTTATTTTGTTTTTCAAATGCTATTAATGAAACTCCCTTTAATCACTAACAGTGGTGTTTTTCAGTGGCGGAACGGTGCAGCTGGCACAGAACTGAGGTATAGGGCGGCCACCCTCCCCTAAAACTACATGTAGCAGAATTGTCAATGTTATGATGTGAAATTCCCCAATTTGGTGTAACTTTTTGGAGTTTTTTTTATGCTGTGTGCTAACTTGTGTCAAATCTTACATATTTAGTATAGTATACATATTGAAATACTGCAGACATAATACAGACATACTCACTAGAATATTACTTTTTTACGAACAAATATTGTTTGCTTGATATAATAATAATATAAAGATGAATTTGACAAACACTTTATAATGCTGTAAAACAAATATTAATAAAAACCATTGCTTTACAAATATTTTTTGTATATAGAACCAGGAGACCGAGCTTTGCTCGGATTGGATTGTATGTGGGCCGTTTTTGCGTATAGCTTCATAGTTCTCTTGTACACCAAAACATGGCTCCTTGCCGCTCACTGACATCATTTGTGAACAGAACAGCTCCTTTTTCAGCTCTGTAGCTGACATGTACTCATTTAATTTGTATGTAGAAAATGAAATGTAAAAAATTTTGAATCTCCCACTGCATGCGAAATAAGGTCAGTGATATGTTTTCTTACTACTAAAAGCATATTGGCTGCAGACATTCATGGCTAGATGACTAAAGTTTATGGCCCTAATGCAATGATTTTTGAATTATTCGATCCCAAGTGGAGGTGTTGAGGGAAAATCTAAGTTTAACTATGATGAAAAACAAATTTAAACTATAAAACAAGTGACTGTATTTCTCATTAACATTTACAAGACATGGAACAAAATTGGACTAACAAACAGATAGCTGATAATTAATAAACATTCATATCCTCTGTAGTATGACTATTACAAATAACAAAAGGCAGGCATTTTCAACACTTTCCCTTATTTGCATGGTCATGCCGAGAGTCCAAGATATTCTTGCAGGACTTGAAGTCTTGGTCGAGGTATAGGCTTCGTCAATATGTCTGCTAGTTGATATTCCAAACAGAGTTTTCTTGCAGATTCATTGTCGACTTTCAGGATAGGAACAGCAGACAATCCTATAAGTTCTTTGAATAAACGAGAAATCCAGATTGTTTCTTTTGAACCAAGATTAACTGCAACGATTTCAGCTTCACAAGTTGAGTCCGCAACTAACTCCTGACGACGACAAAGCCAAGTGATAGCTGCACCCGCGTATTTAATAATAATATAATATAACTTCCTTTCCCGCCGCCTTTACTGTTACGTTCGAATTTTGTGGAAAAGGTTTGTAATCTGTAAACCAACTAAGATTTGATGTAATGTGCCGCGTAGCACCATTTTCGATCCACCACTGGTCGTTTATGGTCACGATATTCATGTCACTGCTGATGGAAATCAGCGCACTTCGGTTGTCGGTCACGTCAACTTGTGAGCCCTTCGCTCTCTTCTGATCAGTGTCACTCATTTTTTGACCTAGTGCTAATGCCGTTAGCTTGAGCTGGATACACAGGCTACGCCAGATTTCCATTTAGAACACTGGCGAATCCAATGACCTTTCCCTGAACAGTATTTGCACAAAGTGTCACCTTTTGGTTTCCTATTCTTATGACCACCGCTGTTTGTGGCACTAAGAATGTGACCAGCTTTTGACGTAGGAGCAACATTACGCTCATGAAGGATCAATGCAGATGAAACTTCTTTAAGTTTCTTGCTCTCCATTGCCTTCATAAGTAAGTAGCTAGACTTGAACGATTCAAAACGCTTCGGCAAAATGTGTAACACCTTTGACACAAACAGGAGCTCAAGAAAATCTTCGACTGTTTGGATGTTGTGTGTTATGAGGCCAGCTGCACATTTGCGGTTTTGGTTCTTCAATCTTGAAAGTACAGTCGGAGCATCCGCGGTATCATCCCATTCCATATTGAAGAAATCCAAACACTGACGAAACAACTGGTCTTCTGTCTTGTTATTGAACTGCTTGACCAAAATGCCCCACGCTTCCTTAGCTGATAATCTTCCGAAATTCGTTGATGTAGATCATCACTAACGCACTGAGAAATAACTATTTTTGCCTGAGTCGTAGATTTGTTGAATTTTGGGTTTAGTCTGAGGCTTTTCTTTTCTTCCCTCGACGATATCAACTGCGTCGAACACCTCCAGAACATCCAGTCCAACACGCGATCCTTCCACGTCAGCCAATCTTCTGCTCCTTTCAATGGTTTTATACCTTTCACGTATTCCATTTGTTGTTTGCATTCCTGGACGAACTCAATAGAAAGATATTCCAAAGAAAAACTCGTGAGGCAGAAAATCGCATCAGAATAAATTGTTCTTACCATGTACATAGTAGACTAGATTTCCCAACACTGTTATGTACTTAAAACGATGCTGGCGACCATAACCTCTTGAATTATTCACCCAAGTGGAGGTGTTTAGAAGTTTAACTAACTACTATGAAAAACAAATTTAAACTATAAAACTAGTGACTGTATTTCTTATTAATATTTACAAGATATGGAACAAAATTGGACTAACAAAACAGACAGCTGATAATAAATAAACATTTATATAATCTGTAGTATGACTATTACAAATAACAAAAGGCAGGCATTTTCAACAATGATAGAGGGTAAATTTCAGGAATGGGTTAGGGAGTTTAAAAACTGCTGTGAAAATGTCCATTTTGGATGAAATAGTTTTTATTATTTGGTGGTTACCTAGACTTATCACACGATACCACAAATGAGAAAGGTTTTTACAGCAGTTTTTACTTATTGTATTAGGGTTATTACCTTCAGTCATCTAGTGATGAATTTTGGCATCATATATGTTTCTTATAGTCAAAAAACTTATTACTAATCTTTTCTCACATGCGGCCAGAGATTTAATATTTTTTTTTATGTTTTAGACACACAACAAAGGATACACGTCAGCTACAGAGCTGCAAATGGTGCCATTCTGTTAAAAGAAGATGCTAGAACGTGGCGAGAAACCTCCCTGCAAGCTATACGCACTGATTGCCCTTAAAAAAAAATGTCTTCAAATTAATTGTTTAACTCAAGTTTGTATTTATTTAATTTTGTCAAGCTACAATCTATATTCTGTCAATAACTAATTAGATCAGTTTAAAGCTATCCAAATCTCATGTACTTCCCCTAAGCAAGTTGAATACTATAATTGTTGGTTATTCCTGTGCAGATTTTGGATTTAGTAATCACTTTGTACCTGGAGAGATGTTGTCCACGTGGTGTGGGAGTCCACCCTACGCAGCTCCTGAGTTGTTTGAGGGCAAGCAATATGATGGGCCTAAGGCTGATATTTGGGTATGTCTCACACAATGTCTTAAGAGTCTTCCGTAGTGGAAGCCATGTTGGATTTCTTCCCCATAAGAACAATGTTAACTTTGGGTAAAAATATCTCATCAGCAAATTGTCATATAATTATGGATAAGGAGTTAAATTTAAGGAATTGCGGTCCTCTAGAGATTGACGTTTTTTATTTCACAATTTTTAATTTTTATAATGAATAATTGATTATTAATTAGCTTAAAATTAAGCTAATTATTGAAAGGAAATGAAAATAGATTTTCGAAATTAAAAAACCTCAGTCACGAGTCTATTATGTTAAAAATACAAATTATAAATTTCAAAGCTATATCTTAACAAATAACGCCGTTACGTGTCCACAAATGATGTAATGTTTAACATTGTTCTTATGGGGAAGAAATCCAACATGGCTTCCACTACGGAAGACTCTTAATGGACAAGTTAAACTTGCTTATGATAAGTAATTTTATCAACCATTTTAGCCTCTGGATTGCTTATACCCAATTGATATTATGAGGTCTTACCTCGGCAATCCTACTGTTGGTGTTCCAAAAACGCTATAAATTTAAATTGCAAAGGTTCATCATCATTTATATATAGCATATATATAAGTACTCAGTAGTGTTATTACATCTTCTACAAACAACTTTTGAAATGTGGTCAACCTAGATACAACTAATGATGAACCTTCAGGTTTTAAATAAATATCACTGGATTTACACCATTAGAATTGCTAAGGTAAAACCTCATAGTATCAATTAAGAGTAATTTTAATTTAACACATGCACTACATTGTTCAGTCAAGTTCCGATAGTTGGAATTCTAATGTTGGGCAAATGGTTGATAAAATCTTTACCCAACTGTAAATTGCCTTGAAACATAATGGTGCAATGCGGGGAAGGTTAGCAGTACATCATACATACATACAGTTACATAAGACTGCTTATAAAGCACACTTACTAAACAATGTTTGTTATTTGTTTTGTTTGTGATGTACTCTAGTGGCATTTCTCAACTTTTATAAGGGAACTGTACAGACCCTGTTCTTGTTACTATCTAACGTCGACCTTTTATTAGATAGCATCATTAATTATTGATAGCCCAATGAAAAATGGCATCTCTGTCTAATAGCGGTCTAGTAATGGTCGGCTACCGAGAAAATAATTATTCAGAAATATGTAACCGATAGATATCTGCATTTACATTGATAATCTAATCAGTCTTGGGAAACAAAAGAGCAAAAACAAGGTAACACTTAAATCTTGAAACCCCCTACTTCATTTTTGAAGACCAGCAGCTGTTCCTTAAGCAAGGGCCAGTAAGCAAGGACATCTGAGTCCAGTTCCAAACCATGAAAAAATCAACACTGAACTGTATACTTCATAATTACCAAGCGAACACCGCAACCACACAGCTTTCTGGCTAGCCATTAACTGCGGTAAAAAACCTTATTTCCTTTGATTGTCTTATCATTCATTATTCCTGAATACCATAATAGCACATCTAAACTAGTTTTAAGTTGGTGTTTTCGTTTTCCCAAAGTAAAATGAGTGTTCCATCTATTTATAATACACAATTTATTTTTCACAGACATTGTCATTTGAAACTTCTTCTAGGGATTAGCATTTCCCACAGTAGAGTAAATTATCTGAAAAATTGGGGGTGTTCAGATAACTAATTTCTTTTGGAAAATTGGTCATAGACAGTAAAAATGAGCACTATTTTTTATCATTGATTTCGATCAATAATATTTAAATTAATGTTTATATGGATTGTATCTTTTACTGATTTTGACTGTCTCCTGCGATTTTAGCAACATTGACAAGCATATCACTGGTGATCGTCTTCTGCAATCACAGCAACACCCGCACACTTAACATCATTCTCGGCAACACCGGTGATGTTCTCCTACAGTCACGCCAATACCCGTGAGCACATCTTGAAGTCTTGGTGACACCGGTGATTGTTTCCTGCAACACCCGGGTCTTGGCAACACCATTGATTTTCTATTTGATTAACCAAAGTTTCGGATGACTGGGCTTCGAATAATCAATACTCTACTGTATAAAATCTTTTTTGTTTAAGTTTTGTCATAGGCTGGAAACAGCCTTTCATAAATACTTTGTAATAAAAGGAAAATATGGATTTTACTATTCATATATTGAACAGTGGATAGTTAATTAATACAGTTCCACAATTCCTCAGTCGAACTTCGGTTGCCTTGTTCCGGCTACTAAGTAGTCATTTTCAAAACAGAACGTTACATTTTATTCATCGAATGTCAAATATTGTCAATTTTGTTAAATACATTAAACTGACTATGCACAATTGACATTCGATGAATGAAATTTAACGTTCCGTTTTGAAAATTACTAATTAGTAGTCGAAACCAGTGAACGGAAGTTTGACTGAGGAATTGTGGACAGCAAGGTATGTAACCTGTTAATTGATTACTAATTCCGGAAGGCTTCAACATGAATGTACTGATAAAGTCCACTTATTTTTTAACCCTTTTTTTATAGGACTGATTTTAAAGTTCTTAGGTTTTTGTTTAGTGACATGGTGTATGGAAGGGCATATTGTTCATTAATCTCATCTCAATTACAGAAGTATGAGATTATTGTTGGGTTCTCTTTTCAGAGTTTGGGGGTAGTGCTGTATGTATTGGTGTGTGGTGCTTTGCCTTTCGACGGCACAACATTGCAGTGTATGAGAAATAGAGTCATGGCTGGAAAATTTAGAATACCTTACTTTATGAGTGCTGGTAAGTTCTTCTTCACTTTAGCATTCATTGTAAATTGTAGTATCAGTAAGTTTGTGCATTTAAAACAATTGTGGCCACACTCTAATGGATTATTTGTTTAGAGAAGAATAATAAAAGAATATTGGATAATTCCAACTCATAATAAATCAGTTTAACCACCAAATGACAAATAAGTAAGTCTCATACATATCTAAGTTGATATTTAATGTCCTAATGAAGTATACTTTGTTTGTGTTTGTTACATTATTTGAAATTTTATTCTTAGCTTTCCAGTACTGTATTTACTTTTGGATGTCTCTTTAAACAAAATACCTGGGGACCGAGCCATGGCTCGGTGTAGTTTAAAATTCCATTTTAAAAACAAAATAAAGGAAACTCACATTTTATTTACAACTAATTTTGGCTTTTATTATTTATGTTTCACTGGAATTTCAATTTATTAAGATGGGAATTTTAACCTGGCAATTTACAACACATTACTTTATTTTACAGTCAATGGAAAAAATCACTCGTTTATAATAGCCTATACTTGCATAAACATTGTTTTGACACTTTGTTTGAATTAAATCAGCTGATTGACAAGTTTTTGTTTAGATTTAAATTAACATAAAATAAATACAGGGTGACAATTAGACTTAAACGAAAAGAGATATCACAACCAATTTTGGCATATTTTTACTGGTAATAACTACGCTATTCAAGACATATTGTCTAAACTTTATGAATAAAGAATATTTGATTGATTGATTGATTGATTGATTAAGCAACTTTTTTGTGTACATGGTGATCGGATATCAACTATGGGGGACGGCCCTATGGGAATAAGTTCATCTTAAAGGTAAGAGGTATCAAACGAAAAGCAACCTAGTCTATGAGAAGAACCTACTATTACATTACGAGATACACAAAAATCTCCTGAAGGTCTTCGAAATAATGATAAGTGTATCACGACCTAGAAGGCAAATAAAAACAGTGGATCGTTTAAATCTTTGAGGAGGGAGATGATTTATTGGATACATTTTAACATGTGTTAAATTTTTACTTTTTAGCGAATTTCCCTATAGGGAAGTAGCTATTACCGTAGGTGGCACGGGAAGACCTAGACCTGGGACCGATTTACTTTTTCATTTTGATTTCCCCAGAGGCCAAAAACACAATTTGTTCAAATTTTTATAATGTTTGTGTCCGTTAGCACGACAACTCGAGCAATATATACCCATATACAAGGATATATATATATCCTTCTATAAACGTGATAACTTGAGTAATTTTTGTCAGATTTTGATGAAATTTGATTGAAAGATGTAAGGCGGGATAAACTTGAATGATTTCGCGATCCAGTTTGATCGGACCATGGGGACAGGGTTTTACAGGGGGTTTTATGGGGTAACAAATGGTTTTTCTAATTTTGACCCCCAAAACACAAAATTTCCCAATTTATCTATAGACCTTTTTAAAGAGCTTAAAAAACAAATAATTTAGTATATCAAAGTGTTTTTGTACACATTATTGGTAATGGAGAAAATTCAAAAAAATTTTAAATTTAAAATTCCTATGTTATTCTTATGAAGAATATTGTAAAATGTTGTAGTTTGCTTGTTTAAGGATATATTTTGATAAAACTTGGCAAATTTATTTATTTTATTCTAAGCTATTAATATTTTACTAAAACCCCACTTAAACAGTTTCCTTGTAGCAGCAAACCTAGGTACTCGTTAAACCTAATGTTATTTATAGGGATGGACGAGATTGGATTTTTAGTTCGAGACGAGACAAGACGAGATTTTTTATTTCTCATAAAATTTCGAGACAAGATTTCTCTTCTCATACACAACGGGAAATGCACGTTCGAAATTTTTACCTGATTTTGTAACATTGTTAGGTGACTGTTTAAATACAAAAATAATGATAATAGGCAAGAATATTTACAATCTTTTATTAAATAACATCAGCATAACATTTTTTTATTAATCACGCCTAACTTATTAAAAATGCCTACGATTAGGAAACATGGTGATATCAGTTAGGATAGAGTTCAACTTATCCTAAAATAAAATAAATCATAAAATAAAAGCAATATTAATTTTTATAAAATAGTTACTTGTTTTGACTTGTTTTATAGTAATAAAACATTCCTCACACTGCTTACACTTAACAAAACTTCTCAAATGTTATTAAAGTAATATTATTTAAATAAATAAAGTAATATTTACATTAAAAGAATTAATTAAATAAGAACGCCTTTGCAAAGGAAACGCAACTACAACACGCTCCTGTATTGCGGGTATTGCATTGACTTTCTGCAGGCGTTTTTAATTTTTTTTTTTTTGTCTCGATAAAAATCTCGGCCAAAAAGAAATCTCGTCTCGTGTAACGAGATTGAAAATTTCCCGAAATTTCGAGACTTGACCATCCCTAGATTTAAATAGATTTAATTGAAAACCAATTCTGACTAATGGAAATTCACTTAGTCGGCAGGTTTGCTGTGGCGGGGTTATTTTATTATAATCTATTTTGTTTTGTTTATTTTGGATTTCGTATCCTATACTATACTCTTATATGAGCAATGTTTGTTTGTATGCTTGCTTGCACAAAGATGTCGAAAACGCCTTCGACGATTTCCTTTAAATGTTGTAAATAATTAATTTCTGGCCTAAAAATTGTTTAATGCAGTTAAAACTGCCAACAAAAATCTTATCTATCTATATAATTAATACGCTACATGAAACTTCTTTGTCGGTTGAACTCCTCCGCCATTTCTTAACCGATTTTATCCATTGACGTCTCATTGGAAAGAGCGTGTCGTGTAGATTTGCAAACTGACCTCACATTTTTGAAAAAGTCCCTTGGGCTTTGCCCCAGTGGCTTTTAAAGTTACCATGTTATCCTTATGGAGAATATAATCGTTTACATTTAGATCAGCTGTATAATTTAATTGCTGTTATTTATTTTTCAATTCAATGAAACGCATTGGGTACATTTACTGATTTTGTTGAAACTAAATATTTTCTATTTTAATTTACAATCGTACATATTACAATATAAAAAATCTAGAAAGCCTGGACAATTTGATATATTTGACCAAATAAGAAAAATGAATTGATATAGTACTGTATTTCTTGAGAAATCATTGGAAGAACCGATTTGTTAACCATGGAAACATTGCAAAGTCATAGAATGCCACCAAGTAGAAGAAATAGAGATTAAAAAGTGCTAAAATTTTGTGGGAAACATGGACTTAACTTTTATGATGATTGGCAAAGGAAACCCCTCTAAGTCTGAATTAAACTGGTACGGCAAGGATATTAATCATTAAATATATGTTTTCATTAAAGGTCAAGTGATTTTAAAAGAATGTGACTACATCCATGAAACCGTAATAAAACTTTCATTGAAGGATTCGCATTATTCACATTTAAAGGAAACAAAAAAAACATCTGAACGAAATTAGGCCTTTCAATTCTGCATTTTTCAGGTAAATATAATTTACGATATAACACTACAGTAACTAGCCAAATGAATGCTAATTGATGCAAATAAAATTGCGACAGAGAGGTTTTATGCAGAAAATCAGGTAGTTCTTAGTCATGGAAACAAAATGTTTACTCTAAAAAAATGAATGAAATTTGTAAACGTACTGGCGACAATGGGTGGTACCATGCAGACTACATTATCATTGACGAAGATCAACACGGACAACCTAATACGCCTATAAGTGGGAATCATTTAAAAAACTAGATCAGCTTTTGAAAAATGATAAAATATTTATAAGAAATGTTGATTATATGGAACTGTTAGGTACCTAATTCATGAGTTGAGTCTTCGGGAATTATGATGACTATTATTTGATTTTAAATAACTACTTTACTTCTTTGCAATTGCGAGCAACGTGTACACTAGTATCTATAAAAGAGGAACTATGTATGTATATATGTATATATGTATGTACGTTATGTACTCCGAAACCACTCGACAGATTGTAATGAAACTTTCAGGCATTTCCAAGCATCTTTCAAGGATGGTTTGTGTAAAGTTTGGTGCAGATCTGTCAAAAGGGCTCCGCCCCAGAGGGTTTTAAGTGGACCAATGTCAGACTTTTTTTTAACTACTATGTTTAAAAAAAAAAAAAATTTAAAGCAGATGTTTACTTTCACTACCTAACTGTTTTGTTGGTTTGAATAATCACAACATTCTGTATTAGTCATGATTTGAAATAGTGCCACAATGTTTCCACAGAGTGCAGCACAGAAAACTATTTTACTTTTTAATAAGTCCAAATATATTAAACCCCAATCGCAGCACACCTGTGCACTTCACAACGTTTAACTTCTCCAATAATAAATATGTAAACATAAAAACCTTTATCAAAGTATTATAAACAATAAAATTGATGGCAATGCCTTAATATCAGTACAGGATTCTTTTTATCTTTTGTTCTATACCCACACAATCTAACATAAATTATTAAGTGAATAATAAACTTGCGTGCTATCTCGGGTATTCAAATGCCTCTCAATTTGTCACTAACCCACCACATTACTGTCATTAAAAGAAGGAACTCCAATAATACTAATGCGAAACTTAACTCCACTGTGCAACGTTACCAGACTGACGATTTAAAAAATTACACCAAAATTGATTGAAGCAAAAATTATCAGTTGTAAGTTTAAAGGAGAAATGGTCTTAATCCCAAGAATACTGATGATTTAATCTGAATTGATTGATGGATTGATTGATATTTATTGGCACAAAACGTACAGAATATTACAGGATGTATGTACAGGTGTTTCGTCATAGCCTAAATAAAATTGTCCTTGTAGAAGTCGTCTCTTTCCTTCTAGGTTAAATACATTTTAAAATCCTTAACAAAAAATATACTATGTTTATAAATTCTAATAAAATTCAACAGTTCAAAATTCAAATAAATTTCAAAACCAATAAAATTCAAAGGGAAAATTCAAAAGTAACTATAACAGAGGATAAAACTAAGCTTACAACTA